ACTAACTGAAGTAGCAGTAGACGCTTGGATGGAATGAACTTTAAGACTGGTTAAACCGCCTATTAAATTCCACTTCTTGAATTAAAATGTGTCCTTTCCTGCAGAAATAAACACAGCATGATTCGGCCAGTCTAGGATACAAAACACTGGGCATGTAAATAAATTCAAGCTGGTACCTGTAATCCAGCCTCAGATGCCCTTTCACTGTCCGGAAAAAAACGCGCGCAGTAAACCGTAACATGCCAATGAGCCAAGTCAGCACTTTTCTGAAAGGGTGCCAGGCACTCACTGAGCTCGGATTCAACACCAAATGGATTCCACCTCCTTTCATAACACTTAACATATTGACGTGTTACCAGCGTCTAGAACAAGGCAGTGTGTTATTTCCTTTTTCTACAGGCATTCTGAAGCACCATGCATACTCTATTAACGTGTTCAAAATAGAGCCATAGTCGCAAGATAAACTGTCAAATATCTTGGCTATGAGAAGAGCTCTATATCAAAATTTAAATAGCACTTCTGTTAAAATATTTTCTTTAATGGCAGTTTCAAAAAGCTGTTTCGTATTTATTTTCTGGCAATTGAGATCAATAATTAACATAGCAGGTCCGCAGAGCCTAAAGCTACTGTAGAAGAGCAGGGATATATGGAACACTTGCACTGTGGCCCACAGGCATGTGACCATGATGCCTGGACCTCGTGGAATGTTTATTGATGTACAACGCCCATGGCAGAGCCAAGCTGGAGAGGCTTCAGCTTACCTCTGTGGAATTGTTAATTTTGCTGGCCAGAATGCAGTTGAATCTTGCTCTTTAGCAACTGGGCAGTGGAGGAAGCAAAATCTCACTGGCCCGGCTAATGAAGGAGCAGTTACACAGACTGGCAGGAATTCTCTTTGTGGCCCTGATGCTTATGAATTGTCCCCAACGCCATATTGCTCATGTGAAATGGCCCTTACAGGTCTTGTCCCTTCTCAACCTGTGAATGGACAGTGATGAAGAAGCTGCAGATTTATAAGTTCCTCTCTCTGTTACACTGCTTTATCGTCCAATCAGTATGCTCCTTGTTAGTACGTGAGCACTGCAGAACAGACTCCCTTCCCTGGAGTCTGAACTTTGCTATATAGGGATTGCAAGTGGCTGATACCACATCAAATGAAAAGTATTTACACTGCTTGCATCAAATCAAATCAAAATACATTTAAAGTGATTGTAAACCTAAACATTCTTATTAACAAACATGTTATACTTACGTGCTCTGTGCAATGGTTTTACACAGAGCAGCCCCGATTCTCCTTTTCTCAGCTCCCTTGCTGGTAGTCTTGGCTTCTTTGTGGCATGCCTGCAGGTTCGATCCCAGTCCTCGCTCTGTGTGTCCATTGATACACAGAGTGTGGCTTGGCCCCATCTCCCACTCTCTCTGCTCACTGGCTGTGATTGACAGCAGCAGCAGCCAATGGCTTCCGCTGCTAGTCCTCTGTCCAATGAGGAGAGAGAGAGCCAAGAGCCACTGCTCTCAGGCACAGTGCTGAATCGAGATCGAGATCAGGTATTTGGGGGGGAACCAATCACAGAAGATTTTTTTACCTTAATGCAGAGAATGAATTAAGGTAAAAAAAAACCCTTCTGCCTTGAGAACCACTGTAATGATGTATTAACGAATACAGAGGTGCATTCATTTGTTTCTCAGCTCTAATGTGTAAAAGTCATACACATTTGTGGGTGTATGGCACCAGCTACATGTTCTAATAACAAGAGTGGGAGATTACAAATAATGTAGAGTAGAGTAACTAGCCTTAAGGATTTAACAGATTTAGGACCTGTGTTGATGGGTTTTTGGTTGCGTCAAATGGGCTCTGCATTTCCAAACAAGTCTATGGGAATGCAAAACCCGCTTGAAGCAGGTCAACTGAAGGTCAGAAGGAGGTCAACTGGAGATCAAAAGGTCAATGGATTCTGAATCATCTCAAAAGCATCTCAGACTGATGTCAGACTGATGACGACAGAAGCCCAAAGGCCGATCCTTTCAGGTGGCTCTCCTCTGCTTCAAAAACAGCAAGGGACTTGTGAGCAAATCCCTGCTGAACCAATGTCACTTTTGTGGTATCCGCGTCTGTTCATTTTTTTCCTTCATTCCTTGTAACCAACAGCAAACACACCTACGCTAGTTCTATAGGCAAGCAGATTTGAACAAACCTCCATCAGTTTACATTCTTTTACCTCTGATCTGTTATATTTATAGTAGACCCTAAAAAACAGAAAATGACACAAACCATTTCCTTTTTTTATGTATACAAAGAGGTAACTGGATGAAAAAAGGACACACATTCGTTTACACCTGCCTGCCCAAAGACTTACATTGAGCTTCTGATCAGATCTGCATGAAAAATTGGCAGATCTGATCAGATCAGCCAATTGTATATAAAAACCCTAATATAATTGTTATTGCTTTAGGCAAACTAATAAAATGGAACATGGGAGCTCTGCATGTGGATTCCACTTGGGAAATATAATTTAGGCTTTGGTGTCTGTAAAGGAAGAAAAAAATGAAAAATGAAAACAAGATTCAATATTTTACATATCTGGATGTCTGCTTTACTTTGTTGTACCTTTATTTCTTTTTTATAGCTTTTATAAACCAGCTCTTAAATCAAGTGACTAATTTAGGGTATACTGCAAAGATAAGTGTGCTTGAGTGGCATTTAGATATTATTTTTTTTTTTAATATAATTTTACTATATGTAAAAGGTTTTTTTAATTAACATTTTGAATATCTCCATTCAAATCCAATTGTAAATTCTAACGAACTGGGCTCTCTGACTCATTCCTCTTGTATCGAATTGTATTGTAATTGTGTTGTCTGCATTCATTTTGTAAAGTCCTGCGCAAACTGTTGCTGCTATAGAAATCTTGAATAATCAAATGACGGCCAGGTGAACACTTTGTCCCTCTGGGAGGGCGTCATATGACGTCCTTCCTGTATCGCACATTGCGCGTGCCCACAGGGCCGCGCTGTAGCGAGATCTGTCACCGGCCCTGTACCTCAGACCGATGACAGATCTGTGTACCAGCCCCGTTGCCAGTACCATGTGACCTGCTGTAACCAATCACAGCAGGTCACACGACAGTTGTATACAATGGATGGCTTCCTTTCATGCCGTTTATTGTATACAACTATGTCTAGCTATGAATGGTCACACGATCACATGCACAGGCTGGGCCAATCACCGCCCATCTGTGTCATGTGATTAGCCATGGCCAATCACAGCTAATCACAACAAAAAAAACCTGAATGAATCAATTTCATTCAGTTAAATGCTTGCCTATAGCAAAGAAATTCTTTGCTATAAGCAATCAAATTGTGTCAAAAAATAAAAAAAATACTGTTCACTCCCCAAAGTAGTACAATGTTACTATGGTAACATTATACTACTTTGGTCATAGTGTAATATGAAAAAGAATCTTAAAAAAAGAGAAAAAAATTTAATAAAAAATTGAAAAAAAATAGAAAAAAAATAATATTTTTTTTTTTTCGTACTGTCACCAGTCAGTGTCCCTGATCACCGGCACACCAGTTATATGATGACGCTGTACTGCACTGCTGACAGTATGTAAAAAAAATTGAGAAAATAATTTTTTTAATTTCTTCATTTTCCAAAACATTATGATAAAAAAAATTACAAAAAACTCATACCTGTTATGAAATACGTCAGACTGTCTACTTTGCAAAAAGGGGTCATTTGGGGGATATCTGTACTGTTCTGACATTTTTGGGCCTCAAGAAATTAGATTGGCTGTCAGTACTTCATGATTGATCAATTTTCAGATATATCCCATAGTTTGTGAACTCTATAACTTTCCTACAGACTAAATAATAAATGCTGATTTGGGTTTTTTTCACCAAAGAAATTTAGCAGACTGCATCTTGGTCTAAATTTATGAAGAACAATTATTTATTTGCAAACTTTTATAGCAGAAACAAAGAAAAATATGTTTGTTTGTTTTTTAAATTTCAGTCTTTTTTTGTTAATTTAGCAAAAAATAAAAACCCCAGTGGTGATTAAATACCACCAAAAGAAAGCTCTAGTTGTGTGAACAAAATGATAAAATGTTAGTCTGGGTACAGTGTTGCATGACTGCGCAATTGTCATTCAAAGTGTGAGAGCGCTGAAACCTGAAAATTGGCCTGGGCAGGAAGGGGGTAAAAGTGCCCGGTATGGAAGTGGTTAAAGTCTAATACATTCTTTATCTTAAATTAAAAGAAAAAATCAGGATATTTAGGGCTTGTTCACATTTGTCTTTGTCTATGCACTAAAACATAATTTATACTGGATGAAAATGCATTTCAAGAACATATTCTATTTTTTCCAGTGGTTGGTTCACAAATGTGTTGCAGGTTAGTGTGTTATTAAACTCGTTCTATCACACTCATGCATTGGTGTGAATGGGTTTTATAGCCCTATTCTAATTTTAATAAATTCTATCCCAACTGTGTTTTCTGGAACCCTCATTTTGGCATATGATAGGGTTGTAGAAGGTCCTGTCCTCCTGGTTGGCTTATAATATTCCTTTTATCTCTCACTCAGTATTCAATTTTATTTCGTCCTTGGCGCTGTTCATTACCATTCTAATGGCAATTTTCAGCATAAACTTTTCTATGCCTTCGTGTCCCCAGCCAAGTTCATCCTCTTCTGAACATCAAGCTTAAAACATTAAACTAGCTGAGATCCCAGTTTCCCATACATCCGGTGAATGACAGATTTTCATGGATTGCATGGCTCCCCACAGACTGCACAAATCTGTTTACAAAGTAGAAATCCTGATGCTGGGGAAATAATTTGAAGTTTACAGAATTTGCCAGATTGTTTTTGTTGTATAAACCTATTATTTATACTGTACATTGTATAGATTATGCTGTTTCAGATTAGTGTGCTATTTATTATTTACACATTACAAAGCAGTGATGTTTTACATGTTAGTATTAGAATAACTCTTACTTACTCTTGTAATAAATTCTGTAGAGGCTCCAAATTCAAAAAGGAATTTCACTATATCATTGTGACCTTGTTGGGCAGAAAAAAACAAGGCAGTAGCACCACTCTGAAAAAGAAAGCCAAGATAACAGATTTGGAGGTTGGTGATAACTGTTTGCCTTCATCCTTTAGGTTTCATTGCCAAAACTTCATTGAACAAGCTGAGGTTAGAAGCTGATTGGTTTCTATGCAGAAGGGAGTCTGATTTTGGACTCTCCAGCTTTAGTAAATAAACCCCTATGTCTCAGCATGTTCCCTGGAGGAGGATACATGCAGTGCGATCAGCACCTCTAGAAGCATAGTACCTCTCTGGGCCGTATTAAAGGCAAGGCACCTTCCAGGGGCATGTTACCATCTTGAGGCCCTGCTTTGATCATTCCTCCAAGGTTGTATGCTTTGAAATAGGAAGCTGAGCAGATCAAATAACCTGATTTCAGAAGGTAAGTGTTTGGTACTTTAACTTTTTTGGGGGGAAATGTTTTAATGCATGCATCAAGAGTTTCTCTACCAAACCTTTTCTGAATTCTGGTCTCTTGACTTCCACGGAGTAAAACAAAATTCCCATGTTGAAAAAATAACAATTTATAATTTCATTAATAAACTTACTGTTGAGTTGGGACTGTATAAAACCAAAACATTTAAAGCACTAGCACCTCATCAACACAGGAAAGTGTGCCAGTACTAATTCCCAATAAAATGCTTACAGTGCAGCAAAATGTGTACAAATGTCATTGGTATAGATGGCAGATAAATCAATGGGTAAAATCTGTTTAAAATAATTTAAAGTGTTACTAAACCCAGGACCCTGCATTTACTCTCTCTGGTCTCCCACAGTACACACTACATGGAAGTGCTATTATTTAGTAAATATAAACTGCGAAATACCTATTCTCATCAGCAGTTACAGCAGTCTTGTGACTTCTATCAGTGTTCAGCAGAGCACTGGTTAAATCTTGTGGGAGTTGTTTCATTTCTGCTCTAGGAGGATGCAGAACCCCTGACCTCTGTCTGGACAGTACAGATTGGCCCTGTGCTGTTCACATGCACTCTCCCAAGAAAAAATAAACCCTCTCTAGCAATACACACCAAACTGAGCATGTGCAGAGTGTCTCCACACAATATGTCTTATCAGGAGATAAGAGGGAGGCACTGGAAGAAGGGGAGGATCAGAGAAGTCAGAATCAAACAGCATTTTTACACAATGCAGAGGATTAACCCCTTAAGTTCCACAGTGAGTATATCAAGCATGATTTACTGAATATACAGACTGATGTTACTGTTGTGGGTTTAGTAACACTTTAAAGACCCATCAAAGTTTGGTAATAAAACAATGAACTCAAGGTACAGCAAAATAGAAAATATTAAATGTTTTATGAGTGACATACATTCAAGTTAAAGCAAAATGGAAAATGATAAATGTTTTATGAATGGCATGGGTTTTATTTCAGCTTAGTAGATATGTCAGTACAAAAATTATGTCATATAAAAAATTAAGGACTTGTTCAAATGTATTTTTATATCTGAAGAGCAATCAGCATTTGGATTGCTTTTCAGAGAGTATTTGACAGGTAGTGAGGCGACATATTGCCTCCTCACTGCCTGCTTAAACCCCGCACTAGCACAGCACAGGGACTTGTTCGATGGGGTTACAATTTCTGCGAAAATAAAATTTTATATTTTTGGGGATGGTAGGCTAGACAGGGCCCCGTGATTTCTAACAGCAGCCCTGGTTACAGCTCTGCAATCAACAGGGAATGTGACCTTTGCATTCACAATTACAAATGACATCATGCACAGCCCTTAAAGCTAAACTCCAGGTTGACCTCTAAATACACAGTGAAGGTGCATATATGGGGTCTGTTTTACCTGCCAAAAGATAGTATTTCTCTGCACCCGTCCTTATAGTTTACACAGCCATGTTAAAGCACAAATCCAGGTTGCTGACCTGACATTTTTGTACTGAGTTTAAGCCATACAGAGCATCTCTCTGACCTCAGCTGTATTCAGACAATCAATGAGCATCAGCACACTGATAAGGTTCTCCTTGTGCTCACTCTTCTCTCTCCTCCTCTCAGCATGATCCTTGTTATCACATGTGCTTAGAAGGGGTTGATGCTAAGTCATAAATGTAGTTACTTACAGTAGTTGCATTTAAACATACATTTATTGATTTATAATAAATAACTGCATTCATTGTTGTTTTATATTTGCCTGTTCAGTTTTGAGAACAAATTTTAGCATAGAGCATAGATACCTCTTTCTGGAGATTTATGTCAGCCCCATGTAATACCAGTTCCCGTACACACTGGGTATGTCCTCCATAGGATGCCACCATCAATGCTGTAGTTCCAGCCTGCCAAAACAAAGATTTCTGATGTGAGAATAAAGCATGGTGACTGCATTAAAGAACTGAATACATTTTGTCTTTTAGAAAAAAAAAAAAATAACTCTACAAGGGTATACATGAATGAGACTGTAGCAAAATGATAATAAGACCTTTTAGCCCCATGTACACGGGACACTTCTGAATGATGGAAACTGACTGCTGGAAAACGTAGGTTAAAAAACGTCTGTTTACCTAGTTTGAATACTGCGTTTATGCGCTTTTATGCGAGTTTGCGCTTAGAAGCGTTTTTTTTAAGATAAGCACAGGAGAACCTTCCAAATTCCCAGAATGCACTGGAAAGTGGTAAAAATTATTAACTATTTCAGACTGTTTCAGAGAATTACAGAAAGTAGAAGCAGAGACAGTAGTATGTGTTGAGATTAGCTTAGATGTGAGTTACTCATTAACATTTCTTTTGTTTCCAAGGGTGGGAAAGGTGTCTGGTGGAATGAGTCATTAAGGCCACCTGGCAGGGGTCTTCATGAGGAATTTGAGGTGTGAATGGTCATTAACATATCTTTTGTTTCCAAGGGTGGGAGAGGTCTGAGGCGTGATTCGGTCATTAGTGTGACAAGCTTGATAGGAACATTCTGTGTTCAGTGTTTTGTCCATTTGAGTACCTTGAAAATGATTTGCATGCATTTTTCATGATGAAAAAAGGATCTGGACAGCATCTGGAAACGGAACCGTTAAAAAACGCTTCTAAATGCAAACGCTTACAAATGCGGTTAGCTGTGGTTACAAGCATTTTGCGTTTGAAACGCTGATAAAATCTACTGCTGAATGCAAGTTTTTGGTGCATTGAAAAAAACAACTGTAAACTCAACTGCCTGTAAATGATGCTATGTACATGGACACATAGGAAAACCTTATGGTGAGTTCAGGGGCTGCTAAAAAAAAAAACGCTGAACAACTCCTAAATGTGAGTTCATCAGCAGCAGTGTACATCAGCCCTTAGTATGCAAAAAAAAAAATCATCTTCATTTTGCCACTAAAAGGTTTATACTAAAATAACACAATAATTTGATGACGTTGTCTGAGCTCTGTGTATATAAATTCTATCTGCATCGCTGCCTAAATGTTGTTTTCTCTTGACCCACAGGAATGTGTTTTTCTTAGTAGACTGTGTCCCTTTTGAATTAAACCTCATCCCAGGCACATGTGCTGCAGAGATCATTAGACTTATCTACAGAGCCATCAGTATCAGGCACTCAGGAACCTATGTAGCTTTCTATGACCTTTCTTGGCACAAATACTTTTATTTGGATATACAGTCTTCCTCAACAGCACAAAGGAGATAAATCTAGTCTATGTTCACCAAATGCCCTTACAAACTAAGATATTACCATTTCAAAGTAGAAGCAACATCATTACTGTGCTGTATATCATAGCACACATGCATTGTTGTTTGTTTGCCTTTAAATAAATTTTTCCCTACCTCACTCCGTAGATAGGGGATGCTCTATGTAATTATTTCCACCCTTCTTCTTCATGCTTTAGCCTCCATTTACCACACATATTGTATTCTGCTGGAGCTACTGTAGACATACTATGATTTTTTTTATTTTACTTATCTGAGGTTCATCTGTGAATATCTGCACACGTTTTCAATTAAAGCTTTCTATGATCTGCAAGACGTCATTTGGATCACGCCACTGTCTGCTGATTCTACTGAGACTATAAGTTACAGATATTTTGCCACAACTGGATCAGTTATAGAGATCACACTTTAGTGCTTAGATTGGAGATGCAGAACTTTATACATAGCCTGTTTAGAAAGCAGAGTTGTGGAAGGGATCCCATATGTTCCACCCACAACAGGCTGTCTGTAGAAAACTACAGGAGGTCGGAGACAAGACAAGTCACACTGCACAAGGAGACAAGACCAGTCACACTGCACAAGGAGACAGAGTAGCAGTGACTGGTCTTTATTACAGGAAATTCTTGCTCAAAGGAAATATTTAGACAAGATCTTGAAATTTATGTTAGTATCTTGTTGATGAAATATATTTTCATAATTGCTAAATTGTTAGTATTTTAACATATTTGAGCACATTATCCTAAAAGTATATTTAGTTGACTAAACTACAGTATAAGGGAACAATTATTTGACAGTTGGTAGTGAAAATAGCAATATTTTCCAATATCTTTGTTTGCATTAGTATACTTTGTAACAGTATTATTGTTATACAGGTGAAACTCTAAAAATTAGAATATCGTACAAAAGTTCATTTATTTCAGTAATGCAACTTAAAAGGTGAAACTAATATATGAGATAGACTCATTACATGCAAAGCAAGATAGTTCAAGCCGTGATTTGTCATAATTGTGATGATTATGGCTTACAGCTCATGAAAACCCCAAATCCACAATCTCAGAAAATTAGAATATTGTGAAAAGGTGCAATATTCTAGGCTCAAAGTGTCCCACTCTAATCAGCAAATTAAACCATAACACCTGGAAAGAGTTCCTGAGCCTTTAAATGGTCTCTCAGTCTGGTTCAGTAGGAATCACAATCATGGGAAAGACTGCTGACCTGACAGTTGTGCAGAAAACCATCATTGACACCCTCCATAAGGAGGGAAAGCCTCAAAAGGGTATCAAAGCACATTAATAGAAAGTTATGTGGAAGGGAAAAGTGTGGAAGAAAAAGGTGCACAAGCAGCAGGGATGACCACAGCCTGGAGAGGATTGTCAGGAAAAGGCCATTCAAAAGTGTTGGGGACTTTCACAAGGAGTGGACTGGGGCTGGAGTCAGTGCATCAAGAGCCACCATACACAGATGGATCCTGGACATGGGTTTCAAATGTCGTATTCCTCTTGTAAGCCGCTCCTGAACAACAAAACAATGTCAGAAGCGTCTTACTTGGGCTAAAAAAAAACAGACCTGGTCTGTTGCTCAGTGGTCCAAAGTCCTCTTTTCTGATGACAGCAACTTTTGCATCTCATTTGGAAACCAAAGACCCAGAGTATGGAGGAAGAATGGAGAGGCACACACTGCAAGATGCTTGAAGTCCAGTGTGAAGTTTCCACAGTCTGTGTTGATTTGGGAAGCCATGTCATCTGCTGGTGTTGGTCCACTGTGCTTCATTAAGTCCAGGGTCAATGCAGCCGTCTACCAGGAGATTTTGGAGCACTTCATGCTTCCTTCCGCAGACGAGCTTTATGGGGATGCTGACTTCATTTTCCAGCAGGACTTGGCACCTGCCCACACTGCCAAAGCACCAAAACCTGGTTCAATGACTGTGGGATTACTGTGCTTGATTGGCCAGCAAACTCGCCTGACCTGAACCCCATAGAGAATCTATAGGGCATTGCCAAGAGAAAGATGAGAGACATGAGACCGAACAATGCAGGAGAGCTGAAGGCCGCTATTGAAGCATCCTGGTCTTCCATAACACCTCAGCAGTGCCACAGGCTGATAGCTTCCATGCCACGCCGCATTGAGGAAGTAATTGCTGCAAAAGGGGCCCAAACCAAGTACTGAGTACATATGCATGCTTATACTTTTCAGAGGTCTGATATTGTGCTATGTACAATCCTTGTTTTATTGATTGCATGTAATATTCGAATTTTCTGAGATTGTGGATTTGGGGTTTTTATGAGCTGTAAGCCATAATCATCACAATTATGACAAATCACGGCTTGAACTATCTTGCTTTGCATGTAATGAGTCTATCTCATATATTAGTTTCACCTTTTAAGTTGCATTACTGAAATAAATGAACATTTGCACGATATTCTAATTTTTAGAGTTTCACCTGTACTAATGTATTGAATATTTGTGTGAGACTCCACCCTTAGGGTCCATTTACAGCTGGGACAAATGTGGATGTGTGTGTTTTTTTTAGATAAAGGTGAAGTTCCTCTTTAAAACAAAAAGAGGACCAAAAGCCTTGCATATCTGACCCTCATCATGTTATTACTGGTCCTTAACTTTATCCATAGATTTTTTTAGCATTGAAAAGTACCCTTGTAAAAAAAAAAGGCAACAGTGACATCCCTCTTGTGCCAAATCAAGTGTATAGACTCAAGAATTAAAATGCAGAGATTTCACCAAAAGGTTCCCCAAGACATATGAAACATTGTCAGGTTGCTTAAAGTATAACTAAAAGGCATTTTTTTGTTTTTATTTTAGATAGATCAAGGGGGGGTGACCCATATCAGATTTTTTTTTTTCGCCATTGGTGTCCCATTTTGGAGATTTCCCTTCACTTCCTGTCCCATAGCCAAATAGGAAGTGGGAGGAAATTCCTGCACATTAAGGGAATCCCTTGGGGATCCCCAGGTCACAGAACTAGTGTCCCATTGGAAGAGTTCCCTTCTATTACTTTTCTAGGCAAAAACCCAAAATTTGGGATTTTTCTTAACTTTCACTTTTAATGATAATGGTAACCAGGACAAACAGAGAGTGTGAATCTCTTTGGGGGGGGGGGGGGGGGCACAGACAGCAGTAAGAAATGATAGGTATTCTAATCCATCTCTACTCTGTCCAAAATGAAAAAGTTTTGCCTTTAGTTATACTTTAAATTTTGGATGGAGTGGAGATGGATTATAACACCTGTCTGTTTTTTATTGCTGTCTGTGCTTGGTTAGGAAGAATCTCCCTCTATATGTGTCTTGTATACTGTCATCAGAAATAGCAAGAGTTAAAGAGAATCCCACATTTTGGGTGGTCACCAGAACAGGAAATCTTCCAGTGGGAACACTAGTTCTTTTGACTCTGGTGGCCACCAAGATTTCCCTCACTTTCAAGCAATTTCCTCTCTCTACATAGATATGTAGTTATGGGCCAGGAAATGAAGTAAAATCTCCAATGGAACAAGGATGACAAAAAAAACTGACTGGGGTTTAAACTCTATCCACCCTTACCCTATCTAAAACAAATATTTTTCCTTTAGTTCTACTTTAAAGCCGACTTTAAAGCGATACTAAATGTTAATTTTTTTTTTTTAAATAACAAACAT